AGGTTAAAACTAATTGCAACGTAAGTTGCAACATTAAAAGTTGCAACATATTAATTACAGTTCCCATCTTTAGTCTTACTTTTATATCAATTTCTAGCTTTGATCATTTAGGGATATCCTGAGACATAATCAGAAAATTAGTATCAGAATCGACTGTGTCCACTGGAATCACTAGATGTTTAATTTTACATTTAATAGTAACAACATCTGTGGTGGGTTCTTTTCTTTAGATAAGGTCTATCTCCATAGGACTATCAATAAACTCATCATTTTCAGAATCAGCCGGTGTTTTAGAATTACCATTTTGTGGGTGATAGAGGGTTGTAATAGTGCCAAACTTTTTATTAAGCACCTTCTCAATAATTTTTTCAATAATTTTTTCCAAACGGGATTGTTCATCCTGTGTCAGAGTCTTTGAACTATGCTTTTCCTTCTTGAAAATAGAAACTGATGCTAAAGGAGGTATTTCTGTATCTTTTACTTTATGAGACTTATGAGTCTTTGATTTCTTCTTCTGTGAGAAGATAATAGTGTTATGCTCTTTCTTCATTTTTTTTTTACCTGAGACATTTTAACATTAATTTCAGAATCAGCCTCAGATTCTGATTCAGAAGAAGAACTCTCAGAGTTAGAAAAGCTATTCTCAGACTTTGATAAATAAGTATCATTATCAGAAGAATCTGAATCTGATTATTTATCTACTCTAGCTAAATGGACTCAACCACTTTTAGATTTTTTCTTTTTCTTAATTTCAATTTCTTTTGCTTTATTTTAGAAGATTTGCAGATAGATTTATGGTCACTTTTACACAGAGATAATTTCTTGACTGCAAAAATTTGAGGATCTAAGAAAGGTGAGTTTTTGAAAAGCTTAGCCTTAATATAAAAGACATCATTGATTCCTAACCTTCTTTCTAATTTCTCATTAATATAACTATTGAAAGCTGAACTATTATATGTTTCAAGCAAATTTAGAAGTGCGTCTAAACATTCTGCAAGTACATATAAAAACTCTAACTCCTTTTTTTCTAAAGGCTTCTGAATATTCTGAGAGCACACCTGGTTTGTTTGAGCTATTTGCGCTTGTAGAGATGCAATTTGAGAAACAATCATGAATTGACTGCAACTCTTAATAATATAAAAATGTCAAGAGATGGTGCCCACATTGTGCAGTTAATAGACCTCTTACTATTGAAAATGCAAAGCAACTAGCTCGTAGCAAAAATGGGCTATGTATCTCTACTGAATACATTAATTCTAATACTCTAATGCAATGGTGTTGTTCTGAAGGACATGAGTGGAATGCATCTTTTAATAATATAAAAATGGTAAGAAATGGTGCCCACATTGCGCAGGTAATAGACCTCTTACTATCGAAAATGCAAAGCAATTAGCATGTAATAGAAATGGAATATGTCTTTCTAAATATTTTACTAATAGTCGTTCAGCTTTATTATGGACATGTGCCGAAGGACATTTATGGACTGCATCATTTAGCAGTGTCCATTCTGCTCGAAATATAAAAGAGAAAAACTATGTCGAGAAATAGTATCAAAATATCTTGGACCACCATCTAAAATACGCCGACCTGATTTCTTAAAAACACCTAAATATTATCAAGGATTAGAGCTTGATATTCCGTATTATGATTATGGTTTTGCCATTGAAGTCCAAGGGGAGCAACACGAAAAATTTAATAAGTTCTTTCATAGAGGTGATCCCAATAACTTTATCAAACAGCAGGAACGAGATCAACTCAAGAAAGAATTATGCGAAGAAAACCGGATTGCCTTAAGGTATGTTTGGTATTACGAAGACCCATATGTAGTTATTCCAGAGCATCTTCGAGAATTAGGTCTCATTGAATAAACTCGAAACTTTAAATGCTTTATGATCATTACATACACATTTTTTTTATTTTTCCGATATATACACACACACCCCGACACCACGTCATAGACTGGTTAGAAAAATATGAGCCTGAAATTTTATACAATTCAATATGAATACATATTCTGCGTCATTATTCATGTAAAATCCAGACCACTTAATCGAATTATTTTGCTAACTGTAATAAAAGAAATATATTTATAACAATTGTTACTTTTGATTAAAAAATTAATGTGGCGAGATAAACAATGTTTAAATTTTCAAATCGTAAAAATACAGCTATTGCTACGAAAAACAATATCAATGCTCACGCCTTTTTAGCTAGATTGAATTTTAAAGGAAAAAAAATATTCATTCCGATCCCTGTAATTCTGGCCTTTGGCTGAAAATATCGTTTTTAAGAAATACGTAGGGATGTCTACAGGGTTTGTAATGCGGAATATTATTTAGAACATCGTAACCAATTACACCACATGTGACTCCAGCTGGATTACTTTATCAAGAAAGAATTTCGTTTGTCCTAACCCAACCAGACCAGTTGATCCCATCACCTAGGCAAAATGTACCAATCTCTTGAAGCCCAAAACATTTTTGCGCCAGCACCATATCCATCAGCTCTACTAGGATTTGTACTCCAACCATCTTGAGCACTATATAGTTTTCTTCTTATAAAATATGGGATTACAGTCGTGTTGTTGCGCCTGTATCAATTATCATTCGGAAACCTTGCTCTACATTTGCCATACCCGCTTCATCCTGGGCATTTACTGTATTTCGAAGACGAATATGCACCTATATTTGGCAAAAGAAATCCAAATGATGTCGTTCTTATTAGGGCATTGACAGGTATAATATATCAAATAACACCTGTCAATGACCTTATAATCCATAAATTATAAATCATACAAACCTGCCACTCTTTCTCTGCACCTACATTTGTATTCGCATCAGATGCCGAAAATCTACGCAATTCAACAATACGTTCTTTAACAGGTACGTAATAACACCCCGGATAATCCTCCATCATTTTCTTTTCTTCTCCACTTGATCCATACCTAACAAATTCCCCATGAACGATTAATATATGTGTACCCTGCAATGGATCAAGAGTGCCGGATTCAAGTAAACGACGATATTCAAGTGCATTTTTGGCGAGTTCCTCCCCGATTGGATCCCAATCTGGATCGATGACATAATCAAAAATTAAGCGACGCTCATTAATATCCGTCGGGGGTTGAGGCCAAATGAAATCTGAGCCAGCGAAGACTAAACAAAGGATATGTTGCTTTTAAATAAGTTGAATAGTGATAACTTCAAACCAGTTCAGTCTTATTACGCACCATAAAATTTCTTCCACTCATCTTTATTTTTTGTGAATTTATCGAGTCCTAGTCTTACTGCAAAGTTTTCGATGTCATCTTCATCATTTGCTACCAGTTTTGAAGTGAATTCCGTACTAATAGACGCTCCGGAATTAGCTGTGTTCTCTTGTTTTTCACCCTTGAGGTCAGAAGAGTCCTTCAAACTCAGTTTTTCAGCAACCTTTTTTTCGAGATCAGGCTCTTCAAACATATACAAGAAATTAGAATATAATAAAAAGAATATAAATAGCCATATACGAAAGTACGAACCAGAAACGGTATTACTAATTTCAGGTCGTTTGGTCGACATTTCAACACCTATAACACCTTGGCATGTTAACATTCCGAAACCAGTACATTTCTGAAACACAATAAAACATACCTAGAGTTTTTTTCTTTTTGATATTTTTGGAAACTTTGGTAACTTAAGTTTGCTTACTTAAAACTGGTCTTTGGCTGTGATCCAGATTTAATTCAAAATTATCATCACGTGTCCAAAATCGCTAAGTTATCTGCGGATGATCCCTTGCAATCCGCCTATTGAACTTCGCCATCTGTGACAACATATATACTTTACATTCTGGCCAACTTCGAGGGCGTAGTAATTTTTTCTGAGTCATAATTTTGTGTTTCCTATTTAATGAATTCTCATAAATCTCTAATGTGTGCCTCAAATAAAATTCAATTCGTTTGGACTTTCCAGAAATAGATTCTAATGGAATAGGATCTTTGGAATGGTATAAGAGTCTCTCACACGCTCTCTTGACAAGACTTTCAGGTAATCTATTAATAATATGTTTATAGTCAGAATGGAACATTTTATTAGATATAGTTTTGCGCAAAAAAAAAGTTTGTGTGCAAAAAAATACACATTAGGCTATAATAATTCCACATATCAGTTAATATCCAAATATAAAAAATAAACCGGTCCTAAAGGGACCAACCTCTATCACTGCAATCTGGTATTTATTAGATAGTTAATAGCCTTATTTTTGTTTTATGTTTTTTCTCCTGAATTTTTTCTTTGAGCTAGACGCTTCCAAATCCTTTGATGCTTAACCATATTTACTATTTATTAATATCAGAATCGGACGAACTGGATTTGGATGAGCTAGTCTCAGTCAAACTAGTCTCATACTTGATTCAGATGAATTAGACTCAGATGAACTACTCTTAGATGACGAATTAGATTTAGACGAACTAGTCTCAGGCAAAGTAGACTTGAGCGGGATATTTGTTAAGGATGTCAAATGCTTTTGGTCACTTTCCATTTTGATTATTTATTTATAAAACTTAATATCTTTGATTAGAAAATATGCAAAGTATCTGGTTCATCACTTCAAACTACAAACCGTTTAACCTTTCTTTGTTGTGCCTTTCTTTATTGCTTATGAGGAATAATCTCTTCTATCTGATATCTTTAGGATCTTTCAATTATCTCAACTGAATCAGAATCTTTAGAAGATTCAGATGAATAGGAGAAACCCTTACATTTTTTGATCTTTGGTAAAAAAGCTATTTTTTATATTTAATCAACCACAGTTTCCCTATTCACATATTTGTCTAGATCTTTTAATTCGAAAGTATTATGTTGGGTATGATAATCTTTTAATTGTTTCTTTAGTGCCCTATTTTCACCGGAAAGCATACTATACATATATGCATTTTATTTGTCTAGCCCAAATATTCTGGCTAATTTTTCTGTGTATCTGATAACTTTCTGCTTATTAGGTGCAGTATCAGATGAATTTTTTTGTTCAGTTACCATTTTCGTGATATTTTATATATGATATTGTAATAAACTAAAAAGTTATCTTTTAGATCACATGATTTTTATCTTGTCACAAAATCCATCCAATCAGCTTT